TTCTCATGATTTGTAGTACCAGTAATGGCTGATAACAGAGACACAACTGTATTAACGTGGCCATTAGCTGCTGCTAGGTGTAATGGAGTCTGTCTCTTCTCATTAATTGAATAAATATCAATATTAAGAGACTTGTAAGCTCCTGCTATAGTAGACACTATATCAGGATGACCCTGGCTGCATGCTGCATGAAGTGCTGTGTTACCATTGCTGTCTGGCATGTCTACTAATTGTACACGTGGTTTATTGTAGCTTGGACTATCCAATAGATATTCTACTATTTCCAAGTGACCCTCTTGAGCTGAGAAATAAAGTGAAGTACGACCAGAAGCATCAGTGATATCAGGATTACAGTAACGACCATCAATGAAAAACCTCAATATATCCAAAGACCCTACTTTTGCTGATATGTGCATTACATTAAACCCTTTATTGTCCAGTATACGTAGAAATGTTGCAGTTTTTACTGTTGAGGTAACGAATGATTGGAAGGTTCCTACAGAAAGCTGCAATAAGTAGTGGAGTACGTCCAACAGAGTCGGTCATATCAAGAGATAATGGAGAATGGTCTATAATGTACTTGACTATACTCAACAATCTTTCTTCACAGGCTACATGCAGGGGCGTATCTAAGGGTGGGCCTGGGTGGGCCGAGGCTGTGCCCGACCAACTCAGCAGACCAAAAATTTTTTCTTTTGTATATTAGTCCTTTTAAAAATATTGCTCACTTTATTATGATAGCAATGAGACAAGACTAGCATAGCTAATAGTTTTAGCCAGTGTAAATATAATGATGACATGGTAGAGACTTCCATAGTTCCATTTGGGCAATTGGGCTACCATTTTTTAAATAATAACTACTACTAACCTATCAGTTATTAGACTATTCACATTAATTATTAAAGTAATCGAGTTGAAAATGGCTAAGAAACTCAGCTGAGTCTGTTTGAATGTCTTCCCAAGGCCAGTACTACTACTAATGAAGAAAATATAAGCACTGAAGTGCACATCTTAGCTTATTAAAGTAATAATCGTAGTATTTAATTGACCACGCCCATTATGAATATTAATTAGCTCTGGAAATTTTTCGCGGCGCGCTTCGCGCGCCGCATATTTTTTTTTCGTGCCCAACCAATTCTCAGAGCTTAGATACGCCCCTGGCTACATGAACTGGAGCCATTCCATTGTAATCTTTAATAGTGCGATCCAATGATGCTCCTCCACTAGATGTTTGAGTATAGGAAGAGAACGACTTTTACATGATAAATGAAGAACTGTTGATCCATTTGAAGTTTTAGCTGATAAGTCACACTGAGGAAGATTAGTGAGGTAAAGAACTATAGCAACATGCCCTTCTTGACATGCTACGTGAACTAGTGCATAATGTGTATTGTTGATGTCAATGGGTTTAGTGGCATTAATATCAAATGAATAATTGCTTAATAAATGCTTTAAACAACACAAACGGTTGTATTGTGCAGCAAGAAAAGGTAATAAACCTTTTTTAAATGCAACTATATTAATATGATACTCTTGTCTGAGCCATTCTAGTATATTAACTTTTCCATATGCCACAGCAGCTTCTAGTGATGATATTTCACCAAATATTCTTGGATTAAGTTTGTATTGTTTTATTAATAATTTTAAGAGATCTAGATTACCAGAGGTACATGCCCAAGTGACACAAGTATAGCTATTCTTATCTTCAGTAGTGAGATCACAATTCATTACATCAACTAGAAATATCACTAGTTGCAATACACCACTAGCACAGGCGTAATGAACTGGTGGAGCATCATTATCATTAATAGAATGTACTAGACTAGTATATTGTGGATAATTATTAATAATATATTTAATAAAGGAAAAATGACCATTAACTGTAGAATAATGGAACACATTCATGTTGTGTACACCACCTACTACATCCAAATCACATCCACAATCTTTTTCTAAATACTTTAAGACATCAATAGCACCAACTTCAGCTGCACAATGAACTGCTTTCAAACCTTCATTATCTTCAACTTGAGGATCTAGTTTATATTCATTAACTAATAACTTAGCTAATGAACTGCATACTGCTTGAAGCAATGCAAATGGTATTAGAGGCAATTGATGATTATTAATGAGGTATTGGACTAGCTTCATGTTACCACTCCACGCACTATGAGTCAATACATCCCACATTTTATTATCTTTTATGTTAATGTCACTGTCTTGTACTTCAATGAGATATTGACTGAGATCAACATTACCATGACGACATGAATAATGAAGAGGTGTTCTACCCTCATTACAGGTTAGATTGATATCACTGTCAGTAGTATTGATAATATATTCTACTGCATTGATACTACCTGACATACAAGCTAATGCTAATGGTACTACACCTTTGTAGTCTGGTTGACTTGCATTTAAGTTATACTGAGATATAGTATAATGAAGTAGAGTAGGTGAACCTGATAAAGCAGCATAATGTACTGCAGACTGACCCTCATAATCTAATGAACTGGTATTAATACCATACTCCTCTAATACCTTCACTAACAATATACTACCACTAGTACATGCTAAATGAACTAATGATTGACCATTAGTAGTAATAGCATTTATATTGAAATTATTAACAATGCTTGTCTTCTTGAAGAGTACAGATAAAAGTCTCACTCTTTTGTGCTGTTTAGTAACATTTATATTTAATGCTATACATCTACGAACTAAGTCTTCACGGCCCTCTACATTAAATGTAGTAATTTGCATGAGTAAAGGTATATCACATGGCGCAGTGAGCTTATTATACACTTCTGTGATGCAGTATTTATCAATCAATCCACTGCATAAGTAATGAAGAGAAGAGCGACCACTATAATCAGCTTCTAGTAATACTTTATATCCCAAAAAATTAACAATTTTCATAATGAAACCAGATGAAGCATACTGGCATGCTATATGAAGTGGTGTTGCACCAAAGCGATTTCTTTTTTGAAATGACTCACTTTTATAATAATTATAAAGATACTCTAGAAGCTCTACACTATCACTCATAGCACAATAATGTACTATTCCACATCCATTAAAATCTATGTCATCTGAGAAAATACCAAACGGATTAAGTTTATGAATTAATGCTACCTGCCCGCTCTTACATGCTAATAATGATATGGTTGATCCTTCTCTATTGACCAGAGACACGTTACACTTCTTTTTTAAAAATATACCGTAGGACGACTAATTTTCGCGAATGCTAATTAGAATTTCCATGGAAACAGATTAGATAGTTGCTATGGCGATTGACCACGTGTTTATACATTTACAGTGTCCAGCAGCTAATCAGCTAT